CCTATCAGGCTACCATTGTGAGATAAACGATAAGCGATGTACGGGAGCAGTAAGGAGCACAGACTCTGTGGAGTCAGAATGTCTCCACTAAAATCCCACCTTTGCCGTTTTGCATGTGACTCTGGGCCAGTGAGTCAGAATCGACCTGATGGCAGAGGGTTGTTTTGGTTTTTTCTGTGCCTCGATGTCTTTATCTGTAAAATGCAGTGCCTGCTCCATAAGTTCTTCACATACGTCCACGACTGAATGTGAACACTGCTTAGAAAATACTTAGACGCATGTTTAGCATGCACATTCCCCATTCCACTTTGATGGCTCGCTGCCCAGCTTCCCTGACAGTGGGGACAAGCTAACTCCTATCTGAAGAATTTATTTCCAGTATCATTCACACGTTATCTTAGAAATTAGACACAAACAAACAGAACCTGTTGATGAGGTCATACTGTTTCAGCTTTGACACACAGCTCTTTATTGTCATTTGGCCATTGATATAGGAGCGATCACAATTCAACTTTCCAGACTTAGTATATTTCTGTTTAAATTTTTTTTAAATCTGATCATGTAAAAAGTTAATTTGGGGCATTCCTTATACCAATACCAACTCTCGAGATCTAGTTATGCACCCTGGATAAAGGTTCCTTAGGGGGCACCAAAGCTTAAGGCAAGTTTGGTGGCCTGCACCTACCCAGAGGCACTTCAGGAACCCTGGTTGTGAAGTGGTTGCGATCAGCAAGGCAAACTGTTCAAAACCACCAGTCACTCTCTGCAGGAGAAAGATGAGACTTTCTACTCCCATAACGTGTTCCAATCTCAGAAACCCACAGAGGCCATTCTACCCTATCCTATAGGATCGTTATGAGTTGGCATCAATGGCAGGGAGTTCGGTTTTGAGAGGCTCTTCGGAAGAAAGTCTTGGTGATCCGGTTCAGAGAATCATAGCCAAGGGAAACACTGTGGAGCACAGTTCTACTCTAGCCCACATGAGGTTGTGATGGGTAGGCATCAATTTGACAATAGTGAGTGAAAATTATCTTTGAATATGGGCTTGAGCAGCATGGCTCTGCCATTTAACACCATAACTATATGTCTGCTTGTGGCTTTATTCTATGCTATAGTCTGTTTTTGTTCTGCCCACCTCCCCTGCCCCAACCTAGAACACTAACTAAACTTGCTGTGAGTGGTCTCAATACAAGGGCTAAAACCATTTTCAACCTACTTTGTTTAACTGTCCCTCGCTTTCAATGAAAGTACTACGATACAGGCGGGAGTGGCACTGGAGAAAAGAGTAGAGGGTTTGAGATGGGAGTAACCATCACATCCCCTCTGAATTCTCCCAGTAATTTCCACAATTCACCTTCTAAATTTGAGTCATACTTCCTTTCTCACCAAATGACTTTTGGATTGATAGGAAAAATAAAACTTGAGTCCTGCAGAGTTCAGTTGTCACAGATTACTAGCTACTGCTGGAAAGGGGTGCATAGAACATCCCTTGTCCTGTCATGCTGTTAATTTCTAGCTGCTTTTGGCTGGATAGAACAGACCTAAACGTAGTCGACAAAAGCAAGAAGAAGGAGCCAGTTGCATATTCTGATGCTCTACTGCCCAAACCTGTATATCCCCCGTGTTTGGCAGCTCAAGGTCTAAGAGAGATCACAAAGGGGAATGGTTCCATCACTGTTAGCTTTACTACTGTTACAATCAAATCTGTCTTGGAAGAAGTACAGCCAAAATGCTCCTCAGAGGCAAGAATGGTAAGAGTTCATCTTCCTTACTGTGGACATATTGTCAGGAGAAACCAGTCCCTGGAGAAGGACATCATGCTTGGTAACATAGCAGGGCAGCGAAACAGAGGCAGACCTTTTCCAAGATGGATTGACAAAGTGCCTGCATCCACGGGCTCACACGGAAGAACATGATACAGATGGCCCAGGACCCAGCAGGATTTGTTCTGTTGCCCATGGGATCGCTGTGAAGCGGAATCAGTACTGTTTCTGAGAGGAGGCTCAAGGTCTCAGGCCTCTCCTCTTGACTCTTGTCCCACCCACAAGAAAGCACTTTAGATGAGGGCCAGCCTTCAGAACAGAGTGACAGGAAATGTTTGAGTGGAATCAGTTTATTTATGAAGGAGGGACTTCAGTGTGAAACAGAAAACAAATGCTGGAGAGGATGCAGAGAGATTAGAACTCTCATACACTGCTAGTGGGTTTGTAAACAGGCGTAATCACTGTGGAAAGGGATATGGCACTACCTAAAACAACGGGAAGTAATCATCTGGGGGCGTTGTGGGATGGTTATGTTTTTAAATCAGCAAATGGTCAACCTTCCACGACTGGCTGGCATTGAAGCAGTTCCCCTCTCGTTGGCTGCTTTTCCACAGCATCCCTTCCCTTTCCAGGTCCATGCACTGCAGAGTTCATGTGGGGTTCTTGCCAGGCTCAAAACCAAGGGTCCATTCAACTAGTGTGGGAGTAGTGTGAACATTCTGTATTTCTCTGCCCATAGCCTTTCACTATTTCTGTCTCTTCCATTGACTGACAAATGTGTGGTATCTGCCCTTCACCTTCCTTTGTGCTGAGAGGCTATGGGGAAAGGTGCCCCTGCCTCTGTTTTATGCTAGACTTTCCTTCCATTGCCAATCACTTTTCTCTTGCCCCAGCTCTGTCTAGCTAACACTATCATAAAATAAAGCTTGAGACAAGATACCATCAACTAGGTTGGAGGTAATGTCAACCAGTTAGCCTACCTTAACTGAGCTAGTGGTTTTGATGTTGTTTTGTTTTCTATTTGTTTGTTTGGTGCCTGCCATTTGCAGCAGCTAACTCTTGGAAGCAGTTTCTGCTTTGGTATGGTACTCTATTGCAATTCTCTGCATAGACTTTCTTGGGGAAGGTGTCCAAACCTGGGGTTAATGTACTGGGTCTAGGAGTAGAGTCATGTTGCCTCAAATGAGGTTTGATTAGTAACTATGTGCTTGGATGGAAGAGCACTTCCTAGAATATAGTGAAGCTTAAGACATTGAAATAAATCTATATATCTGTTACAAGCAGAATCAAACTTGTGATAAATGCAAAAAACAGGAAATGGTGAGAATGTATACATATCAAGAAGGCAAGAGAGAAACAGACATTTGATTGTATAATCTCATAGTGCATCACACGTCTGGGTGGTATAAACAATTCCCACTCAACTATTATCCAAAAGAGCAGCTCAAAACCACCCAATGGTGCCTTGGAAGAAATGTCTGGTGATCTAATTGCAAAAATATCAGCCTTGATCGATGGAGGCAAATGTTGTTCTAGACACAATCCTGCAATCATGGTGGTCTTTAAGTAGATGCTTACAAGGTTGTGCAGGTGAGACAAGTGTGGGATTGATGAATATATACAGATATGACAGAGAATCTTTGTATATGTGTATTTGCCTTTGCCGCAAATATGCCCAGGAATGTGGTAGAACCTATAAAGGGCCAAGTAATAAAAACATCTCAGACATAAACAAACACCTTAATGGAATGAGTCACTGCACCTGGGAGATCCGAACCCTAGCTTAACAGAAGAGCAAGTTCAATGGACCTAACAGAGTTACAGAGTAAATGTTTAAAATCCTATGTTGGTGAATAACGACGGGCTCCTAGAAGCACCTGAACAGACATTCCATGTGCAACTGTTGGTCTCTCCAACCCAGAAGAAAGAAGAGGGATGCAAATCTACAGACTCATGGAAATCATTCATCCAATGGACTAATGAACCAAGCCAACAACCTGAGACCAATAGAACTGGATGGTGTCCGGCTACCACGACCAATTATTCTGAAAAACACCTCATTAGGAGGACTGTGGGAGGAAATGGGAAATGTCACTCCAAATCAGGAAAGAAACTCAGCTTACTGGTCAAACAGACTGGTAGGACCCTCAAGACTATATGGCCCTTAATTACTCTTCAGTTTGGGAATTTAATTCACCCCGGTGTTAATCAATCATTTAAATTGCAAAGGGAAACTTTGCCCCCAGGACAAAATTGCTCAGGTGAGGAAAGTGACAAGGAATGGATCAGGAAGCACAGGGGGGATGTAGGATAGAGGTAGATGAATGGGATTACACTCCATTGAAATAAAGCCTATCTGAATGGAAAGTAGGTGATCTCATCTATAAACCTTCACTTTATTCACAATAAAAAGAAAGTCTTTAAAAGGAAGCTTGAAAGCTTAGGTGCATGGGGCTGCCATGGGGAGGATCCTCAGATTAACTCATGTTCACCAGTGTACCCGAGGTAGTTAGTTTATTGTGCCAACCTGGCCGATAAACACATGTGGGGTTAGTTGAAGGGCGGAGGGATACATTGCCCTGTGAGTTTCGCCTTTTGAGTTCTCAGGTCTTTTGCTTTCTGATGGTCGGACCAGGGTGCAGTTGCCTTGGCCAATAATTCCCTGCTTCAGCTGGCAGGGCTTACTTCTTGCAAGACATCCCCAAGGAGAAGCCGCATGGACCTACCCCGATGCAGCTCTGGGTGCTGGAGCACCCGGGTGGAGACCCCTGGCCAGAGCTGAGATGCTTACACATTCACTGATTCAGCTTTCCTCCAGTAGTCGGCATCCTAGTGTGTTTTGTGAGATGGAGGAGGACTTTGTGGATTGGTGTTGGACATATGGGTTAATGTTGGACTTGTGGGCTTGGCCAGCACTGGGTTGGGATGTTTTCTTGATGCACACTTAACCTTTATTTAAAACTCTCTCTTATACATGAGTTTCTGAGGATTTGTTTCTCTAAAGTACCCAGACTAACACAACCCCCTTCCTAAGTATTTTGTCGCAGTAATTTTAATTTGGCAATTAACAGCCAAACTAGCTTTACGTAATTTTCACAGACAGGAATACCAGAAGACTTTATAGTAAAAACCACAGCCCAGCCCCCTTTCCATCCAAGTATTGCTACCACATATCAAGTTCATTCACAATATTCGATGTCACTCTTCCCCACCCCCCCTTTCTCTCTCCTGCACCAGGTAATCCATCAGCTGAGGCTTTCCGAGAATGAAAGTGTGGCCCTGCAGGAACTCCTGGACTGGAGGCGAAAGCTGTGTGAGGAAAGAGAAGACTGGCAGCACATCCTGCACCACACTGAGCCCAGGGCCCCTCCCCCGCCTCCTTGCAAAAAGCCCACTCTTCTGAAGAAGCCCGAAGGGGCCTCCTGCAGCAGGCTGCCTTCCGAGCTCTGGGACACCACCATTTGATGTGGCCTGAATTGCAGACTCAGAAAACAAAAACAAAACTGCCTAGTAATCCCAGGCTGCACCAACAGCAGACTGCCGTGGGATACGTGCTGGATTCTCCCTCCATGCATTGACACACAAAAAGCACATGACACTGAAGTTAAATGTTCACGGTTCCCTGTGTGTGTAAGCGTGTGTGTGTTCTTCCTTAACCATTTTGTGATGATATACTCTGCTTTCCAGGCTTGGTGTCTATAGGACTGGGCTACCCAGAGGTAGTCAGAGAAAAGGCCTCTCAGCGTGCATGAGACCAGAGAGGTCAATGGAACGTGAGGGGAAAGAGCGATTTGTGTGCACCTTAGACAGCTGTTTTTATAGAACTCTGCAATCTCTTTAGTGTACTTCCAATGGTTTTATTACATGATGCAGTACATATATTTTGTTTCTTGGTAGGTGTTGGTGTTATATTGGAATTCCAAATCTGATATTATTTACATGTTGATGACTGTATTTTATAACTTTATGCATTCGGTGGTGCTCTCTTCAAAATACAGGTTTTAAAAAAGAGAATCACTTCTAGATTTTTTTCTCCACATCCTTTTTCTCCCTTTCTTCCTTTCCTTTTTCTTTTTCTCCCTTACCGAAGGTACCTAACAATCTCCAAGCTGCGTTGTTGCTTTAGCTTTGTCAGTGTCCGCCCTCGCAACAGTGTGGCTCGTGTCCAGTGCTTTAAATCCCCTCCGCGGACGTAGTGGAGACACTTCTTCCTATGCTCTGTGTTCTGGATATGTGGATTGTGAACTCCGTAATTAGCTTTCGTTTCTGGACTTCAGCATAGGTTCCAGGACTGTGTGAGGCGCTCAGGTTAGATGTGTATGGATTCAAATTCATAGCTGACTGTGTAAAAGGATCATGTTCATTCAAAGCTATAAACAATACAAATAAGTAAGCTGAGATTTACTGGTTTGAGCAATAACGGTTGCATCACCAGGCGATTGTCCTCCTGGAATCGCACTGCATGATTCCCCCGCTGTATACCCTCAACCCTCCTGCAATGAGATGGCCTGTCTATTGATGTGCAACTCCAGAGGGCTGCCAGGCATTCCTGGTCTCCAGAGCATTGTGTCTTGCTACTCGGAACTTTTTCTTCATACCAGCCTTTAAGTTAATTTGCCAATAAAAGGGTACAACAATTTTCCTCTATTGTATTGTTTCATTTGTTGTTGTTGTTGTTGTTCTTGTTGTTGTATGTAATGTCTACCTGTGATCACTCTTGCTTTCTAATCAGGTAAATAGGGGCAATGCATTGACCTCACCAAGACACCCTTCATAGTTAGCGCCTTCTTCACAGCATTGAGAGAGCTTCACACTCTAGTGGTAAATTGACAACTGCTCTACGTATCATCTAAAATCACAACACAATCTTTTCTGCCCTCCCTCTAGCTTGACAAGAGCGAAGTCTCACTCTCTCACTCTCCTGTCTTCTTTGCTGCCGTTTCCATGGGGTGCTCAGCTGTAATATCAAAAGTGGGCAGTTTGGAGACTACCTAGACACACCTTGGAAGATGGGCTTGGCTCTCTATTTTTTAAAAACCAGCCATCGAAAGTCTTATGGTTCACAGTTCTGTTTTGACACACATGAAGTCCCTGTGAGTCAGAACTGAGGCTCGAGGGCAACTGTGTTGGGTTTGTTTTGATTTTATCGCCAGTCAAGAGGAGACAGAAGAAAACTTTCCATTGACCCATGGCTCCCTTGGCCATGTCCTTACATATTGTAGCCACTGGACGAGAATTTTGAACTTCCTTTCCCTCCCACAATATATTCATTTATACCAAAGTAAAAAGGGAACTGTTAATGCTTTGTACCTTGTGAAAATGTGTTTCCAATACTCAGAGGCACTAATTCGGAAAGTTTTGTAGTGAATACCCTCTTGTCGTCCCCAGTCCAGCCGCACTGCCTCCAGATGTTGTTGTCGCATTGCGTGCTCCTTCACACTGTTGGTTGTGACCCCTTGTAACTTGCTGTGTGTGGGCGTCAGCTGTCCTACCTTCTTTTCACATATTGGTCCTAAAATGTGCTTCCTCCTAAAACTTGTCACCCTCAACCTCATTTTACTGATATGAAATTGGAAGCTCAGATTCTTAATTAAATTCACATATTTATGATCACCCAGCCCATGCTACTTTAACTTTGATAATAGGACATTCTACTTTATTATACCAAAATAAATCATTAAAAACAGCAAGTTTCCTTTTGGGGGGACCCATGTGTATGAAATTTTCATGAAATACTCTGAAAGGAAATACTTGCAGACGGTATAGGCCTTCACACCACATAACAGTCCCAACTATACCACTATCTGTTATATAAACCCAGGCTTACTTTTCAAGGTTTGAAAGTCGTGATGGCATAGTGGCTACACAATGAGCTACAATCTTCAAGGCTCACAGATCCAAACCACCAGCCACTCTCCACTCCTGTAAAGAGTACTGGTCTCAGAATCTCCCATGAGCACTTCTATCCTGTCCTGTAGGGTCACTATGAGTCAGCATTGAATTTGAGTTTTGAGGGGTTTTTTTTGTTTTTTGGGTTTGTTTTATTTTAATGAATAGTTGTCAGTTGGATAGAACAGTTTGAGCAAGAGAGGTGTCCTGAGCAACCAACTCTCACAGCCATCGAGCCAAAGCCAACTCATAGAGATCCTATAGGACAAATCCAAACTGCCCCTTTGGATTTGTGAGGAAGTAACTTTTTACGGCAATAGAATACTTCATCTTTTTCCTGAAGAGTGGCTGGTGATTTCCAACTGCTGACCTGGTGATTAGAAGCCCAATTTATAATCCAATACACCTCCCCCCACCACCACCCCTCCCCCCTCTAGTAATCACCACTTCATGGAACCTTCATTGACCTCTAGGAGCTAGGAGCCCATCCTTGTAAAAATTTTAAAACAATCTCCTGGTTACTTAATGCTTTGTGTCTAAGAGACTCTGGGTGGTAAACCAAGAAACCTCCAAATTCACAACTGATGAATGGATGCCGGCACCGAGGTGTAACTGAAAGGTTAGAACTTAAGTTCACCCTGAGGTACCTCGGTAGAAAGGACTAGCGATCTATGTTTTAAAAAAAGGGAGACAAAAGCAAAACCAAACCATGGTCATTGAAAATTGTCTATCAGTTCTGCTGTAGCACATGTGGAGTAGTCATGAGACCAAATCATTTAGATATTAACCGGTGAACTATTCTTTTCTATTTAATAGTTTGTTGATGCCATTGTGGTGAGATGTTTCAAACAGGTCTTCTTCACCACATAAGGACTCTTAGTCTCCCTGTTCGACCTTCATGGTAAGAAAATCAGCAGACACTTAGAAGTCTTCGTTTCTATGGCAGCTGTATTCGCCGGGATAACCCCAAGGATACAAGCTAGAACCCCAGCTGCCTGGGTGAGAAAGGTCCTCCAAGCTGCTCTCTAATATTTCTGCCGCCAAGAAAACAAACAGTACCCAGCACAATGAAGTACTGGAATGCTAGTTCACTAAAGATTTCAACAACCCCGTACGCATGCAAAACATTTAGTAATCCCATTTTAATCACCATTAGAACATAAGGTATGAATTAGAAACCATCGGGCCTCCATCCTTATGTTTTGCAATATAATTAGTATGAATTGTTACCCTATGCTCAAATATGGTCCGATTCTAAGACATTAATTTTTTTTTTTTTTAGGAAGGATCACTGTAAACTACTATCAACGTATTTATAGTGGCTTAAAATGATTTAAAATGTATTTTCTGGGGTGGAGAGATGTGGAATTACCATTCAACAGGAACAGTATCTAATTTAGCAGAACCTTGCTCACATAAATCGACACAATAAACACAGCAGCCAATTAAAATCTTGGATATGTTAATGGACCCCACAAGCGAACAGGGCACAACTGCAACAGAAAAATATACAAAGAAGCGTCAAAAAGGTGCTGAAATAAGTGATATTGAAAGATAATGAAATTTTTCCATGACCTTTTGGGACACCCCCCTTATTCTCAGTTCCAAAGTCCAAAGGAACGAATAAGCTTCTGTCAAAGTTCTATTACTGTCAGATTCAAGCCAAACGCCAAACTCAACTCATACCATAAAGGACACGAGGCTTGCAAATAATCACACTTCTATAATGAGGGACAGTTCACCCACTGGTTTAATACTCTGTCCTCCCATATACTTTTCAAATCTTGAAATGCTTACTTTGGGTTAAGAAATGAACGGAACTAAGTCTTATTTTAGTTCTTATTGGCAAAATCTTGCAATGTAAAATATTTTCAAGATAGCTAAGTCAGAAAAGCAAACTATATTCTAAGTGAAAGTTTAGTATCCAGTAATTCATTTATCACATTATTTTTAGCTACACATAAAAATCCACATTCTGAAGATAAATTATATAGAGATTCATTATGGAAATTTAATTTCACTATTGTGCTCATATGTTTCTCCAAAAGGTAGCATTACTTTAAAATTTTATATATAGACATATATATATTCTACTCAATTCTACTTTCTTTACATCTCATTCAGAATAAGTGACTTTAAAAAGCAAATTCTATTACAAAAAAAATTGTTCAAGCCTACAAAGTGCTCATGTGTGTAACAATGATTCCCATTAGACAGCTAAGGTATATGACATGCTGAGTTATAGCTGAGAAAGAATTACCTTTGTAGTTTTTTCACTTTACCTAAGCAGTGCAGCCCCCTGGAATGTTCCATTATTGTGGTTTCAGTAAGTTCCTATAAAACCCAGGCTGCTTTGTAGAACTTTAAAGGTAATTTTTTTTTCTCCCCAAAGAGTCGGTCTTATTAGCTGCCTGTCTCACCTGTTCTAAGTTCTCAGATTTTCAAAAATGTGCATTTATACTTTAAATATCATATTCTTATGTTTTGACATCAGAGGAGTACAATTCGAATTTTATGTAGTTTACCACCTCTTTACAATGGCAAATGGAATTTTTGATGTGTTCTCATATACTAGAAATATCAAAGGTGAATAAGTCTATGCATTCATTTCAAATATCGTTTAACAATAGCAATGTATCAACTGTGTCTTTCCTTTTCTTTGAATTAGTCATTGACAGACACCCTGCTATACCCGCTAGCTTGCCTTTCCCTAGAGCCCCAGCGAGCATGTGCCACCTCAAAGGAAGGCCAGCAAGCTTGCTCAGATCACATTTTCCTCATGTCACCACTAGCTTCTAAATTCTAAAGAAAATAGAAAAGAATGAAACTATTGATAGTCTCCAAAAGAGGATTAAAGCTGTAAAGAAACATGGAGTGAAACCAAATTCAAATTGAGGTTTGAATGTTTTAAGATTTCAATAAACAAAAGGCTTGAAGGTCCATGATCTAAAACAATTAAAAAGTATCTAACTTCAGTTGCATCGTGAAGGAAGTTTCTCTGGTGAACTGGGGGATCTATTAATTCCAACAAATTGGCTTTCTGTGTATCCTGAAGAACATTTCCACTCAACTGGGCCTTTATTGTTATTGTTAATCAATATCATTAACAATACATTATATCGCAGTATAGTATATTATAATGCATTCACAATACAAACAAAACATTGTTGAACTAAACAATATTTAAAATAATATGTCATTATTTAATCATTTTTTAATATTATAAGGCAAAAGCTCACTTCCCATCAGTCCATTCCCATTCATAGTGACAGTATAAATTATAAAGATATGTGTATTTGGGGGAGGAATAGTTCTTTAAAAAATTTTCGCTGCATATTGCAGCTAGAGAATTATTAAACATTTCTGTCATTGACTTGGGTTTAGAAATTTTTATAAAAGGATGACATTTTATGTTTTAGAAATCAAGAAATGCTCCTTAGCAAGAAAAAAATAGGCCACAGGAAATCCACATTGCAAGGCTCTCGCATCTTAAAGAGTGCCAAAGACAGAAATTAGAGGTGGCACGTCTCATTATCAATATGTGTCTACTTTACCACTAGGTACACTTACAGTCTCAGAGGAAAGATAAACCCTACAAAGCTGGCAAAGTTGGTGTCTGGAATATTTAAAAGCCAAATGTTTGCCTGTAGTGACAGGGGAGTGCAGGGGAGAAGCTCATTAAGGTTACAATTGGTTGTGTCTTCAAATTTTATTCCTGACATCTACCACTGGGTAACAGGGAACAGGTCTCTT